GTATTATTGTAACCAACAAGACAAATTAAGTCATATATATGGATTTAATGATGATATCAGAATGATCCAGGTATCAAAATGTAGCTTTTAAAGACAAGAATCTGAAAATGTAATTAGGTCATTTTGACCAAATTTGACCTCATTTCGATATGATGGGTGGGTCACATATTTTAATTGTTTTTGGACTTACTGCAGTTAAAATCAACTACAGTCTCAGCAGTATCATGTTGCCTTGACCTAATTAATCACAACACTATATAATCACAGTAAAACTGTAACACAATGCAACTCAAATGGCTCACTCAATTGTTACAGAATGATCAGCAAACCTTCTCTTTGTTGGTGATCTGACAGCACCACTGTGTGACATGGACGTGTGCATCTGCTTACAGAGAGGATTACTGACAAATGTTTTGGGGTTTGGTGCATTTAACTGCCAGGTGTCAGTGGTTTTAATAGGAGCCGATCAATCAAATCACTCAAGACAGATGGAAAGTGACAGGTCTGAACAGGGCCTTAGCTATCGAATGTGGAGAAACTAGTATAACAAATGCTGAAAGATTACACTGAATACTTGGTAAATGTGTGAGCTGGTTAGCATGACAGGTTTAAATGGGTTTAATCCTGATGAAGGCTGCAGAGCTTCACTCCCGTACATAAATCCTTGTGCACACCACGTCATCTGCCCCAAATGTCTGCAAGAAAAAAGAATATTTTGCACTTTAGTCATTTGATATGTTCCTGTTTGGTTTTAACTACAGTACAATGTGTAGCGAACCATGTAGTTTTGCACATCAAGGAAAATTATAAAATTGTTAGAATTAGAAAAATGTATCCATTAGATTGAAATATGTGCAATTTCAGATACAATTAGGAGATTTATAAATCTTTACTTCATTGACCCCCAAGGGAAATCACAGTTATTACAGCTGCTACCATTCAGAGCAGAGAAATGTGAGAAGAAAGAAAGAAGCACACTGGAATAAGATAAGTATAGGCTAGATGAAAACAAGCACATATAATCTATGTACAATAAAAATAAATAGAAAAATTAACAAAAATGTGTACAGTATGTAAGGAGAGAGCATGTTTGGTATATTGCACATGCTTGGTAAAGTGTCATTGTTCAAATACAGTAAAATAAACTAAGTATAAAACTAGAAGCACTCGGAGAGTGCAAACCTCCGCCAAGACCAATTTCCCCCATCCTGTAATAGAGTTACAAAGGGGCCCACCAATACTACAGTGCCACCTGCTGGACACTTTGAAACCCACGCCCTGTGAAAGCATCACAGCTTTGCCGATCTCAGAGTGTTAAAAGAAATAAAATTCCTGTATCCGCACCGTGATCTGGAACATCACCAAAATTTAAAGATGTGTTACTTGAGCCAGTACCCGCATGTGGTAAAAATGTCACGACAATCTGTCCACAAGTTTTTGAGTAATGTCCACAGACAGAACGACGGATTGACAGACAGACATACGCGACCGAAAACATTACCTCGCCCTTGGCGGAGGTAATAAAGAATAAGGGGCGGCTGTGGCAGAGTGGTTAGGGGAGTCGCCCTGGATCTGGAAGGTCACCAGTTCGATCCCCCGTCCAGCTGTCTCAGTTGTTGTGTCCTTTGGCAAGACACTTCACCCCTAATACCTCTGATGCATGTGCCATCAGTGTATGAATGTGATTGGCACTGATTAGTCTCCATAGTTGATTGTACTGGTTAGCTTTGTAGGAGATCAGGTAGAGTGCTGTGTGAATGGATAAATGAGGACACAGATTGTAGTGTGAAGAGATTTGAGTGTCCTGGATGGGTAGAAAGGCGCTATATAAGTACAGTCCTGTTATGATTCTGTCACTGTCTGCCCAGATCTTGTCCCAGTTTAGTTTTATTATTTTATTTCTTGTTCCAGTTCATCCTCATAGTCTTGTTCCCAGCCTTTCAGTCTCACTCTCCAGCTCACTGCCAGATTATCATCAGCCTCGCCTGTGATCTTCCAGCGTTCTTGTCCCTTGTCCTGCTCTTGCCTCATGTCCCCGACCCTGTTCATGTCTCCTGGTTTAACGTCTCCTGCCTCAGTCCCTGTCGGATCCCGCCTGCCATCTGCTCTCACGGTAACGACCTTTTTTCTGTCTCTTGGATTATTGTCTCTCCTGCTCCCTGAACGGAACGGCGCCACATCGGACCTCCTGGATCTCGACCCCTGAACGCATCTCTGGACCAACGACTCAGTCATCTCTTTCCAACCTGGTAACGTCCTCTGATCACCTGTGTATGACCCTTGCCCCATTTCTGACCCCAAGTAAGTCCAGCGATCCATTCGCTCCCCGTGACAACACAGCCCGGAACCAAAACACATCAGCTGTTGTTTCAACCCGGATCTCAACTCAGCAGGAAAGGTTGGTGACTTTCTTTTTCACAAATAATATTGTGTTCACGACCCAACCTAACCCTAAGCTTCTGTGTCCAGAACTGACGACCCCGGAGTCCGGTCCCAACCTTCCAGCCAAATTTTCTAACAATAAATTTGTTAAAAACTTTGACGTTGTTTGGTGTTTTCTCAGAGCTCAAAATACAAACCTTAACAAGTCCATTGTAAATGTACAGATGATCTAAGGTTTCACATGTTTAGGGAGGAGTTATAGAGTTTGATGGCCACTGGTAAGAACAACCTCCTGTGGTGCATTTTGGTGGTATGAGTCTTTCACTGAATGTGTTTCTATGACTCATTACTGTGTTGTAGAGAGGGTGGTAACCATTGGTCACAATTTCCTTTAGCTTTGACAGCATCCTCCTCTCTGACACTGCAGTCAGAGTCCAACTCTACTCCCACAACATCACCAGCTTTACGAATCAGTTTGTGAAGTCTGTTGGCGTCTGCCCGCTCAGTCTGCTCCCCCAACAGCAGCAAAGGATTAATAACTGCTGTAGTTGTACATCAAAGCTTGGCTGAAGTTCAAGCGTCTCTTCTGTCTTGTGGATCATAGGCTGATGTGACTAACAAAAGTCCACTTCAATCTTAAAAAGCTTCCAGACTAAACCAATTATACAGATGATGCAGATCTTATGGAAATGTGTCCCACTTAGAAATGTCTCTCACAATGAGACCACTACATTTGTGAGAAAGTGTTCAAAACCTGGAAGCCCTAATAATTGCACAGAAAACCAAGTTAGTTCCCAGTTTAATAAGATTTATACTTAAGATCTAAATGCTCAAGTCAGGCTCAGAGCCAGTGGTGGACAAAGTACTCAACTGTAGTACTTGAGTAAAAGTAATGATACTCAGTGTCAAATCTACTCAACTACAAGTAAAAGTTACTCCATCAAAAAATTACTCAAGTTAAAGTACTGAAGTACTTTTGAAAATACTCAAGTATTCAAAAGTACATGCATTTAAAATTACTCAAGTATTCAAAAGTACAAATTACATTTTCTACTATCAACACCTTGTACCTTGTAGCTCTCAGAAACCACCTGATGTATCGACACGTAGAACCCCTGACAAAAATGATGGAATCACTGGACTCAGAGGATGCTCATTCAGTTGTTTAGTTTTGTAGAAAAAAAATCTGATCACAGACATGACACAAAACTAAAGTCATTTCAAATGGCAACTTTATGGCTTTAAGAAACACTAAAATAAACCAATAAAGACACTTTTCTTATCCCATCAATTGAAAGGATAGGATGTTTGGGGATGATATCATTTTTCAAGATGATAATGCATCCTGCCATAGAGCAACAACTGTGAAAACATTCCTTGAAAAAAGACACAGAAGGTTAATGTCATGGCCTCCAAATAGTCCAGATCTCAATCCAAGTGAAAATCTTTGGTGGAAGTTGAAGAAAATGGTCCATGAACAAGACTCCAACCTGCAAAGCTGATCTGGCAACAGCAATCAGAGAAAGCTGGAGCCAGATTGAAGAAGAGTGTTTGTCACTCGTTAAGTCCATGCCTCAGAGTCTGCAGCTGTTAGAAAAGCGAGAGGTGGTTCAACTAAAAACTAGTGGTGTTATAGTGTTTCGTGTTTCTTTGTTTTTCATGATTCCATCAGAATTGAGTGATTCCACATTTTTCCCCCTCTGCTTGGCCCAAAAAGGTAACTGTCACTGACTACCACAACTTTTTCTTAATTTCTTTTAGTGTTTCTTAAAGCCAGAAAGTTGCCATTTGAAATAACTTTAGTTTTGTGTCATGTCTGTGATCTGCATTTTTTCTACAAATTTAAACAACTGAATAAGCGTCCACTGAGGCCAGTGATTCCATCAGTTTTGCCAGGGGTTGTAGAACCACTCTGCTAAAAATTCTACACCACCTGTAAGACTTCAGCATAAAAATGCAATAAAATGAATGGTGAGTTCTTAAATGTACAAATGTAGTTTATCCGTAGTGAACCCAGAAGACGTTGAAACTGATAGGAACTATTTTTCAGCCCTAAAATCTCAAACACAGAGCTGAGATATGATAATAGGTGTGCTGGTTTCTCTATTCTCTTCAATCGTCTCCATTGCTGGGTTCAGTCGTTGTGTCCTTGGGCAAGACACTTCACCCACCTTGCCTACTGATGGTGGTCAGAGGGTCCGGTGGCGCCGGTGCATGGCAGCTTCACTTCTGTCTGTGTGCCCCAGGGCAGCTGTGACTACAATGTAGCTTACCATCATCAGTGTGTGAATGTGAGTGTGAATGGGTGAATGTCTGTAAGTGTAAAGTGCTTTGGGGTCCGTAGGGACTTCATAAAGTGCTCTCTCTATAAGTTCAGTCTATTTAACTTTTGTTTGAAATGTAGGTGTGAGCTCAGCTCGTGACCGTTAATGAAGATGATGTAATTGCAAATCCTAGATGTGAGTTACGACTGTGATTGGTTCCTCATGAGGAACATAGCGTGGCCAGTTGCATTTCAAGAAAGAAAAACAGCAACAGCTGATTACAAAACTGTGCTGAACCAACAGTAACAAGTAACTAAAAGCTTCCTAGAAATGTAGAAGAAGTTTGGCTCAAAGACACCTCCCAGGGGTGTTTCTGGTATCAAAAGGTGTTTCTGGTCCCCACCTGTCGTTTTGCTCCTCAGCATGGCTTCTTAAAAACGCTGCAGGATTTCTCAAACATACATGAATGAGTCAAAGCAAGGCTTTGGGCATGTTTTTATGAGAGTCTAACATTATAACTTGATATAAAACTCAAAAAAGTTGATTTTACATGATATTGCCCCTTTAATAGCACATTCTGGTAACACCCCTGTGGGGGCTGTACCTTTACATCAGCACTGATATACTGGAAATCTTAAACAAGTCTTGTAGTGTTGGGTGGAAAGATTGGACCCAAAATGCAGACTGACTCGAGGAATCAAGATGATAAGGATTTATTAGAACAAAAAGCCAATGTGGCGGCAAAACAACAGGACCAAATCCAGGGCAACATCTAGCGATGGACGGACGAGTAAGTGGAGGAAAAGGACTGGTTAAATACAGCAAGTGGAGTGGAAAGTTGTGACAGCTGGGCGATTACTTGAAAGCCATCAGGTGTGGGAGAATGATCAGGAAGGAATGAAAAGGAAAAGGCAGAAGCTAAGTTAGTGTGAGAAAGAGAACACAAGAGGGAGACCAAGCACAAGACAAAAGACAACAGATCCTCACAGTACCCCTCTCAAAAGATCGTCTCCAGACAATAACAGAACAAACATGGGAGGGTGGAGGGGGTACAAAAACAGACAACAGGATGGAGACCACAAGACAAACCAACAATGAGACCAGATTCGAAAAATCAAGACAGAAATCAGGAACAAATGTAGATGGTTCAGGTGAGGTAGACAGAGGAGAAGAGTCAGGAGGCTTGTGACCAGGCGTAGATGACTCGTGGAAAGGAATTGGTGACTCTTGGCCAGGAACTGGAGGAACTGATGGAACTGATGTCTCTGGAACTAATGGAACTGATAACTCTGGAACTGATGACTGGAGTGCAGGAACAGACGTGGAACCAGAAGCCTTGGGGATAGGAACAGGTGCAGATGGCTCAGGGGAGTCAATACCAGTCTCTGAAGCAGAGAACAGTGATGAAGAAGGTGGATCAGATGAAGATGGTGAGGATGGTGGTGGTCCGGATGACTTAGGAGACTCAGGAACAGACTGGACTAGACCAGATGATGAAGAAGGTAGAGCAAGTGAAGATGGAGCAGGACCAGCCGAGGATGGTGATGATGGCGGCATAGAACCAGACGTAAATGGTTATGATGGTGAAGCAGGACCAGTTGAGGATGGTGATGATGATGTTGGCGCAGGAACAGAGGATGGTGATGATGATGTTGGCGCAGGAACAGAGGATGGTGATGATGATGGTGTCGGCACAGGAACAGGTGGAGATGATGACTCTACAGCAGGTGAGATGATAACAGCAGAAGCTGAGCTCCTCAAAGGCTGCAGCCGGTGAAGAGAGCTCAGGTGGGGCTGCAGCCAGTGAAGAGAGCTCAGGTGGGGCTGCAGCCGGTGAAGAGAGCTCAGGTGGGGCTGCAGCAGGCCAAGTGAGCCCCTCAGTGGCTGCAGCAGACTAAGTGAGCCCCTCAGAGGCTGCAGCAGACAAAAACGGTTCCTCAGAGGCTGCAGCAGCTGAAAGTGGGGGACTTGGCTGCAGCTGGTGTGGAGGTCTCGGCTGTAGACACGGTGGAGCAGGAACCCATTAGCTCAGCGGAGCAGGAACCAGTCGGCTCGGCAGAGCTGGAACGAGTCTTTTTCCGCCGAGGACGGCAGCAGCGAGAGGAACTCAGAAGAGTTGCCAGAGGTAATTCCTTTTTCTCAGGCCAAAGAGAAGGTGAGGTGGGCTCAGCGGGAGGACAGGCGGTTGGGGAGAGGAGGATCTGATGGATGAATTTGTTTTGCAGAAAGATATATGTGTCTTCCACTGGTTTGTTTTGCTTCTAGTTGCTTTGATAACAGTCTTTTCCTGTCTTGTCAGCATTGGGTTTCTCTGTAGCTCCTGTCATTGTAATTCATCCAGAAGCTGTGTTCTGTGTGAGAGTCATCTCAATAGATATATTCTTTGGTTTTGCACCAAGAGAGTTCCAGGAAGGCCTGCTCCTCCATTCACTTCCAATCTCTCCCATTTTCTGATTCCCCCACATAGCCTTCTCACTGTTTTTTGCACGTGTCGTCTCATTCAAAGCATTCATTCCCTCAAGACAATGAAATTTAATTTCCAACACTTCAACCTTCTGGAGAAGCTGGAGTGGACCACCACATGTCCAAGTAGATACTGGACACAGACCGCCCACAGTATGTGAGTGTCATGGTCTGTGTTTATTTTCTTTAACTTTCTAGTGTTTTCAATGTTCCCCTGTGTTGCTCTGCCCTACAGCCCCGCCCATGCACACCTGATCCCTCTTGTGTCTCCCCAGGTGTTTCCGATTGTCTCTTAATTTGTTTGCCTTTATATTTGGTGTCTTGTCCTCAGTCTGTGTCCGTTCATTGTGCTGTTTACCCAGCCAGTGTGGTGTGTTCCTCGTGTTTCCCAATGAAATTATCAGTGAGTTTTTGAGCTGCTTTTCAGCCCAGTTTATTAAACTTTATTTTTCTCCTTGGATTTTTGCCTGTGCCTTGGGTCATACTGCCTCACACCTCACAGTGAGGACACAGGGCTGTGTCTCGGACGTGCTGGTCTGAAGTACGGGGGCCCCTCAGGGAAAAGTGCTCCCCAGTCCCTGTCGCTGGTCTTTGCAGTTCTTTCAGTTCCAAGATCTGGTTTCTCTTCTGCACCCCAGTTATCAACATCTGTGCCTGCCCCTGAGTCATCAGTTCCATCTACATCTTCAACATTTGGTTCATCATCTCCATCCTCATCAGTTCCTGCTCCCAAGTCTTTAGTTCCTGCTCCCGAGTTCTACAAGCCTGCACCTGAATCCCTGGGTCCGACTGTTCCTGAGTCCCCTGAGTCTACACTGGCCTCAGAGAATCCTGAGTGTTTTGTGTTCTCATTTCCATCTTTTCCTCAGTTTTAGCTCTGCCTTCTACTGATTCATTCACACCTGTCTGTACTCAGTAATCACTCAACTGTCTCCACTTTTCACTCTAATCTACTGCTATTTAACCAGTTCTCTTTCACCACTTCCTCCTCCATTCATTGTTTGGTCTTGTCCTGGCTTCCTCCCGAGTTCTCCGGCTTTTTGTTTTGCCACCCTGCTGGCTTTTTGTTGTAATAAAATGTCTTACTTGACTCCTCGAGCCTGGCTGCATTCCTGGGTCTGACCTTGCCCCAAATGATGATACATTTTTTGAATCACCCGTAAATATAATGTTCACAATGATTTTTTTGTTCCCTGGGAAATGAATAAATCTGTTTATCAATCAGTGATGTGCCTTTTTTTAAAGAGAGGGAACACTGAATACAGAAACAACAACAACAATGACAGTAATAATAATATAATATTCAGTGCAAAAATCCTTTTACTTTTATTTTATTTGATGGGCTAGGAGGGCACTGGCCTAAAAAAGTTTGAGAACCACTGTCTTAGACTTTACAAACCAGAGTGTGGGACCTCTGACAGTGGAGAGAATAAACCTGTTGAATCCCACAGAGTTGTTTGCTGTACCAGTGACTACTCCCCAGTAAACAGATCAAGGGGCTTTAGACTCATTGGGCCTCGTTTAAGAACATGTTCGTATTCTTATACTAAATTTCTCTTACTTTTGTTCGTACAAAGGGTTCGTACGAACATGTCACGTCAGATTCAACAAACTCTTCTATCTTCAGGAAAAGTGTGTAAATGAGCTGCGTAAATTCACCTGTTTGTATCCAGCTGCTCGTGCACAAGGAGAGGTAATTTCCATAATTACCACCCCAAAAACACCATATAAGGATATACGTTTCCTGCTCCACATACCAGGAAGTGTCCATTCATGAAAGACATCGCAAAGTAAAAAAGAAGAACTTTACGAATTCGGAGATTGAAGTCCTGCTTTCGGAGATCCACAAAAAAAAAATGTCATTTTTAGCAGCGTCAGCTGTGGAATTAAAGGATCTGCTTAAGCCAAGGAATTAATGACGACTGCTGTTAATAATGCTGTGTCTCCTGTGGGTCACAGAAATAAAAATCTAAACCAAATTTATCTCTCTCTCTCTGTATCCTGCTCCAGTTTTTCTTTGGTCAAATATTTTTAATATCAGTGTAAACAACTGTGTTACACAGTTTTCATTTGTTCGGAGGAGGCAGTCGCGCACCGCTGCACCCCACCACCACCACCATCCCCGCCTGGCCGTCTCCCCACTCCTGGCCGTCGCAAGTGACAGATGCGGTTCCAAAAAAAAACATTTTAAAACATCTCCAAATTTCAATTAATGCATAATTTAAGTTGTTTTTTTAGTTTGAGATCTTAATATCTTAATTTTGTAGTGTTATACAACAGCATTAAAAGCCAATTTAATTTAATCTAATCAATTTATGTCGTTAAAATCTAATTCCAGTTTAAGCAGAATAGCCTATTGTCAACATAATTATGGAGTTTGATTTATTTTTAACTCGAAATATCTTCAAACTAATGAAATATGGAGTTATTAGTGAGAAAACTCTGTCAGGATAACAGCAGACTGACTGCTGGTAAAATATACGACAGGTCTGGACCACTCATGAATTTTGTTCGTATCTGAAAAAAATCTTAGAATATGAAAACATTGGTGAATGCCACAAATTCTCCTAAATCACTCGTACGCACAACTTAAGAACAAATCTGTGCGTACGAACGGTTCTTGCATGAGGCCCATTGTTTCCTGCACATATTAATCTGAGTAAATACAGACGTTTGAGTGCATATTCAGTACAGCAGCTCTTCTCATTGGCCTCTCACATCTCTCCGTGAGATGGAAAGCTCAGATTCTTGGGAAAAAACTCATTTCTTTTACAGTGAAACCTCTAGAGAGTATTATTATTCTCCCTGCCTTGCACTTCTAGCTGATGAAAAATCTCATCTCAATGTGTTGGATATCTTTCTGGTCTCTGTGACGAGGTATTTGGAATGAGCATTTCTATTTATTAGGGTATAAAACATCAATGCTTATGTGTTTATAGAGTTTTAATTCTGAGTAGTAATCTGTCAGGAGGCGCTAAGTGAGCTCACCAGTATAAGTTCATCCCCATTCAGTTCCCTGGTCCAGTAGGTCTTGGGACCATCACCATCCAGTAGAGTCTGCTGACAGCGAATCTTGTTCTCTGACTCCCAGGTGGCCAGGCTCTAAAGGAAAAGAGACCAAAAAAGAGATTTAAATGCTCTCATCATAGAGAAACAATATGCACATCCACAAACAATATCTAACCTGCCATATGAGTTTAACAATATGAGTTTAGTTTACTAAATACTTTTACTAACTCAATATCTGTGTTAGTTAGGTTTACTTGGGTTTGGTAACTGATTAAAGTCTTTTAGGTAATTGTTTGATCCTGCCAGTTTATTTACTTTGATTAAAAGTGTTTTCATTTTTAAAATAAAATGTAACTGAATTCAGTTTCAATTAAATTTATTTTTACAGCAGGGTGGAGCTGGTGAAGCACTTCTGCTAAGGCTGGTGCTACTGAGGCACTATAGTTACTGCTAATGTTAGAAAAACTCTTCAATAGATTTCAAAATACCACCAAAGAAAAACAACAACAGTGGATTGGAGGAGGAACCATGTCTGGTGAGATAGCAGCAGCAGAACAAGAAAAGCTACTAGGACTACTGGAAAAACTAAAATAACCTGGAGGACATGGTCAAAGAAAAAGATTTAAAAAGTTGAAAAATTATTTTAAAGAAATGACAATCTTGAACAATATTCAAGGGTAAACAACATAATCATAAAAGGACTGGATACAAAACATTGAACATATGCCGAAGCTATATCAACTAATAGGGGAGGGAGACAAAGCGCCAGATGAAGAACTAGAAACACTAGAACAGATTATAGACTCCTTTGAAAGTAAAGATATATCCATCCAGAGTCCCATCAAAGCCTGTAATGCATTCCCTTAGAAGGAAAAGACCGTAAAACCTGCCATAATTGTTCAGTTCTTGAAAAGGAAAAACAAACTTAGTAACGACGATAACCAACACAAAGAGGGGAAAAAAACAAAAACAAGGGGACTTTGAGCCCCGCCTGCATTCACTACATACACATAACACGACACCTAAGAACCACAGCATCCAAACCAGTAATTCAGGTGATGGGTCACATGACCCTCTATGAACAATAGAGCTAATCAAGCCTATTGTTAGGCAATGGTCCTCTTTTGCATGTGACTAACCTGTTTGTCCACCATGTGGAGGCGGAGCTTATAAGGCTGAGTTCACCTGAAACTCACCAAAACTGAAGAAGTCTCTTGGAGGAGAGACGAAACATTTCACTAAAGAACCCATCCAGAGGACCTACTGATTTTTTCTTTTTGATTTTAAAACTTAGTAATTTAAACAGTCAAAAACATATGGGTACTGAAGTATAGTATATTTAAATGAGCACTTCTTATCCATCTCCATCTTCTTCCGCGTATCCGTATGGTCACAGAGGCAACAGGTCCAGGAGAGAAATCAGACCTCCCTCTCTCCAGTGACACTTTCCAGCTCGTCCTGGGGGACCCCAAGCCGTTCCCAGGCCAGAGAGGATACATAATCCCTCAAGTGAGTCCTGGGTCTTCCCCGGGGCCTCCTACCAGTGGGATGTACCTGGAACACCGGAACACTTCACAGGAGGTATCCTAATCAGATGCCCGAACCACCTCAACTGACTCCTTACGATGTGGAGGAGCAGCGGCTCTACTCCGAGCTCCCCCCGGGTGACAGAGCTCCTCATCCTGTCTCTAAGGCTGAGCCTGGCCACCCTACGAAGGAAGCTCATGTCAGCCATTTCAGGTCATCGTAGCTTGGAACTGGGATTTCGTTCTTTCAGCCATGATCCACGCTGAAAGAATCACGATCCATGATACACGGGTTAGTTTTAATGTTAGTTCGTTAGTTAGTATTAATATTTGGTAAATGGTAAATGGACTGAAATTATACAACGCTTTATCGAGTCCCTCCAGACCCCAAAGCGCTTTACACTAACAGACATTGACCCATTCACACAAACATTCACACACTGATGACAGTAAGCTAAATTGTAGCTATAGCTGCCTTCCTACGCAGCGCCGCTCAGTTCTAGTTTCCTTCTCTGCTCCGTCTGGGACTTCTCCCATTCAGATGGATTTCTCTGGCAGATTTTTAGCCGGGCCAATCAGAGAACAGAAAGTCAATTTTCTGCACAGTGTCTGCTTGTAGTTTATTTTACCTGGACCAATCAGAGAACAGAAGGAGGAGTTTTGAATGATGTAGATGTTCTGCTCAGTGTCTGCTAGTTATTTTAGCATACAGCAGTGGAGGAAGTGAATGAAGCCAGTCTGTGTTGATAAGGCTTCAAATTAAAATAAATTTGTCTGACAAAGCAGCAGCTCTCATTTACAGTCGTCTCGTTCAGCTCGGTATATTTCTCCTCTCAGTAGGGTTGTTTGCAGCACACGCGATTTCCTGTTAGCTTCTTAGCTTAGCCTCCTTCACAGCGACAACACACACATGCTTCAGCAGAGGCCACGCCTCCTGCAAGAAACGATTGTCTATGCATCAAGTCTAGACCCTTGTCCGAAGTTAAGTGAAGGACAGGGTCTGGTTTAAACCAGGCTAGCATCAGCTATAACCAGACCTGACCTTACATTCTCGTCCCCAGGATAGACGTGCCTCTTTCAGTCCAGTTGGACACAGGCAGCCTTACCCTTTGTTGTGTCTCCGGACTGGTACCTGCTCAGCTTACAGATCAGCTTCGGCGGACTCTGACTCCCCAGAATCCATGAGATCTGCAGCCATGTTGAGGTCACTCACAAGTGGACAGTGTCGGCAACAGCTGGAAGGTTGCAGAAGAGCTGATGTAGTGAGGTGGTCCAGTTTGAAAACAGACGTCTGCTGGGCTTAAAGTTTCCAAGCTAAAAGGTCTTTCTTGTAGATAAAAGTTTTCTTCTTAGTTTAACTGGTTCTGGGATGTTGGCTTTAAAAATCTTAGTTCTGAGTTTCCTGTTGTTTCTCGGATACAAACATAAAACAAACCGATGCAGACAAACAAACTGAAGTGATGGAAAAGAGCAAATTCTCTCAGAAAACAGCTTATGTCACTAGACTGTCTGAGCCCTTTTCTCTCTCAAGGCCATAAGATAAAGTAACACTGTGAAGGTATCTCTCTGTCCAACAGTTCTCACAATAAAACAGACATCAGTTTGTCTCCATCTCAAGGAGAGCTTTGTCTGAAACAAAGAAATAAATACATGCCAGACATTTTTAGAAAGGATTAGAATGACATCTGGATCAACTGTTCACATCATATTGACGTCAGTCAATATGACACTGCTGAAGTCTGTAATATTGTCTGTATGTTCACGATTAAGTGTTAAAGGACAAAACCTTATTGAAACAGAAGACAGTAACCCCTAACATGTCAAGAGTAATCTTTAAAATAAGATTTAAATAAAATAGCTCAGTTCAGTTTTGGAACATAACCTCAGGGTAAAGAAGTCATCTTCACACTACATGTCCATACATTAAAAAGGCCAATTAATAAAGTTATCAGTTATCAAAGTTATCAAGTTTATTATTTGCTTGAACTAAAACAGCATTTAGTTTGTTGTATTTGTACAATATTTAACACATTTTCCAGTTGCCTCAAAAATCACTAAACATAGTTGACATAAATTCTTTTAATACGTTATATGTTCTTAATTATTATGATTGAATATTGTCTCATTTTTGTCAGTGGGATAGTTTTAGTATACAGTAGATAGGGAAAAATTAAAAAGCACAGAAACAATAAAAACCTACAAGATTGGTTGACAAACATTACTAATTTTAATACATTTTGAATTTTAAATGATAATTTCTTTGGTAATTAAATTGATGCTTCAGATCTTTTGAAATGGGGTTCTGCCTGCTGGGTCTTTGAACATCCTCTGTTTAGAGAAATAGAGTTTAATTTTAATTCCTAAACTACCATTGTTCATTCCACTTTATTTATGCAGAAATCTAAGATTATTTATTTTATTATTCTCAGTTTGCATACCTACGACTGTGTATTAGGGCCACTTTACAGTTTAAAAAAAGAGGAGCAAAGCTGTCAAAAAACTGAGATTAATTTCAGAAACATAATAATAACAATAGTTCTCTAAATTGTTGGCGTGGCCAAAAAAGCTCTGACCTACCCAGAAAAAAAATTACTATTTTTAATGTAAGTGATAAAATCAGGGCTATTTGGCCAAAAGCCACCATAAGTACCTCTGCAAAGCCTTTATAATCACAGAGCGACAGTCATTCAACTCATTTATGGACTTATGTCTGTGTTTTATTAATAAAAATTAACATTTAATTGTGAAAGGCCTGGCAGGGAAATATCTCTTTCTGGTGGTGAAACAGATCATTTCCTGAATCCCAAACCACAGCGAGAACTCCGCCCCCTCATTTGCAT